GACTGTGTGACTGCAAGCCAAAAATTTAGGGTACAATTTCAAATTTTTTATTTTTGTCCTCTAAGTAGGGGTACCCCTCTTCAAAGGAAACCCCTATTAAAAGGATAATTTTTTGGTCCCAAATGTGGCTCCTTAATAGGGGATAAATAACAATATGGATGCATTTAAACAATAATTAATTTTACTCATTCATAACAACACCTAGAAACACACCTGAATTGATTCTTGTCCAATATAATTTGTTGACGACGTGTGAAAAACTTTCTGACACTTCAAGGCAGCAGGACCTGTCCCTACAAACCCTTTCAGAGGAATTTTTCCTGTGTTAGCCTTAGCGGCATCACATTCCTGTTGAAGTTGTCTACCGGCTGCTCTAAGGAGAGCTTTAGAAACATTTCCAGAATTTAAGTTCAGATCTCCTGATGTTGTGTTAACAATAACATCAACCTGAAATAAAGAAGGCAATAACAAAAGGATAATTAAAGGGGTGCTGCAATTTGAGGGTTACAGATTATAAAGTAGAGTTGTCGTGGGCCGCAATATAATTATATTGGGCCATATGTGGCCTGCTGCCGCACATTGCCTACCAACAGACTGGACAGTAAGGGGCTGGAAAAAAGAATGCATTCATGTGCAGAAATTGCAACGTTTTTGGAACTAAAATATATTCAAGAAAAGTAAATGTGTTTATACACACACTTTAAGCAAAAGTTCATATATAGACCTTGAAATAACCAATAAAACAGGAAAGGTATTACTGTATTCTAATGCTTGTTTACGTCAATTAATTGATAGATTAATTGTTTGATGAGTGATAAACTAATTGATTGACTGAACCGATACCTTAGAATCTTCAATCTTGCCCTTTATCAGCCTTATATCAAAACCTTCTTTTGTAGTTATAACATCATTATTTATCTTCAACCCTGGGTTACTGCTAGTTGGCATGTCATCAGTTTCTGTGAGGTCTATAAAGTCATGATCGGAATCACTTTCATCAAGCATGACATCTTTGGCACTATGGTCGATATTAAAAACTGTTTCCATGCCTGCTTCAAATCCCTGACAAACTTTCATGTCAATACTTAGAAAATACACTTTCTGAACGTGTGATTGAGGATTTTCTTCAAAGTACTCTTTTGTTGCCTCAAGAATCACCTTGGTACATGGCATAAGAGGATAACCATACACGCCAGAGCTGATAGCAGGCATTCCAATTGAGGTGA